ATCAAGAATACAAGCAACAAATAATAAGTATTGACGAGGATGTGGAGGAAAAGGTACTCTCATACATTGTTGGTGGGACTACAAATTGATGCAACTTCTTTGGAAAGCAGTATGGAGATTCCTCAGAAAACCTGGAATGGAACCACTATTTAACCCAACTATCCCACTCCTCTGTTAATTCCCAAAGGATAAAATCAGCATTCTGCAGTGACACCACCACATCAATGTTTACAGCAGCTCAATTCACAATAGCTAAATTATGGAACCAACCTAGATGCCCTTTAACAGATGAATGAATAGAGGAAATGTGATATATATACACAATGGAATATAATTCAGCTTTAAAGAAAAATGAAATTATGGCATTTGCATGTAAATGRATGGAACCAGAGAACATCATGCTAAGTGAAATAAGCCAATTCCAAAAAAATCAAAGGCCAAATGTTTTCTCTGATAAGTGGATGCTGATCCATAGGTGGGGGGAGAATGAAAGAACTTCGGATTGTGCAGAGGGGCATGAGGAGAAGGGTGGGATTGTGAGGATGGGAAGGACGGTAGAATGAGACAGACGTTATTACCCTATATATATGTATGATTACTACTGGTATGACTGACTCTGTACCATGTACACAGCCAGAGGAATGAGAAGTTGTGCTCTATTACTATACAATGTGTCAAAATGCATTCTACTGTCATGTATAACTAATTAGAACAAATTAAAAAAAAAACAGAAGGGAGACCAGTAGAAAAGAAGAAGGGGATCAGGGAAGGGAGGGGAGAGAAAAGGGGGTACTCGGTAATAAAACTGATCAAATTATACTGTTTTATTGTGTGTACATATGAATATATATGTTATGTATAATTATAATGTGCCAATAAAAAGGAAAAAAAAGAATGATATTACAGCATTTGCTGGTAAATGGATAGAACTGGAGAACATTATGCTAAGTGAAATAAGCCAAACTCAGAAAATCAAGGGTGGAATATTTTCTCTCATACATGGAAACTAGAGTAAAATAAGGGGAAAAGGCAGGAAGTGAGGGTAGGGGARCCAAATACCATAAAGATATAGGAAAGATCAGTGCAGTAGAAGGACAGTTAGAGGGAGAAGGGAGTGATGAGGCAGGGGAGAAAATGCTGAATGAATTTAACGAAATCACATTATGTGCACATATAAACATACCATAGGGAATTCATTCCATCTTTAAAAGTAGAAAGCACCAAATCAAAAATAAATAAATAAGTAAACGTGTGAAAGAAAGATCAGTAGAGTAGAAGAAGGAGAACAGGGAGAGGGAGGGAGAAGGAAGTGAACAAGGACTGAAATGGAGTACAAAGAGTCCATACATACATGATTTTGTCAAAAAGAACCCAATTATTGCATATAAGTATAATGCTCTAATAATTTTTTTTTCTTCTTCCTGAATAGTCTTTACTTGCTCCAAGTTACTTTTCAGTTTGTTTTGAACTCTACTTTTCATGTTTGAGGATTTCCTATGATGTCTGGTATTCCATGGTTATCTGTTTGTTATTAAGAATGGAGGACCAAAAAACTGATTACAAATAGAATTTATCAGCTATGAGCTTTGGAAAATCCACAATGTCTTTGTAGGGTGTTTTTTTCCTCCAACATGACTAGTCTAACTCTGCTAAAAAAGATTCTCCAATTTTTGGGGGACTGGAAATCCTGGCTGCATTAATGAAAGCCATACAGAGCAAGGTAGCTTGGGATCTCAATAGCCAGAATGTAGGTGATCACTTAATCCCTTTGTCTTTTGCACAGTTCCCTTGCTTTTAACAGAGTCTATTATCATCTAGTCTAAATATCGTGTATTATCTTCTTCACAAGAAACAAGCAGACCTCTTATATTACTGATAGGAATGGAAATTGATGAAACATTTTGGAAAAATGTTTGGCAGTACATGCTAAAGCTCTATAAATTTCTAGCCTATTCTCCCTTCCACAAAAGAAATGAAAGTTTAAATTGTCCAAAAGGAATGCACAAAAATGTCACAATTACTTTATTTACAATAGTCAAAATGTGGAAAGAACACAAATATCTATCAATGTATTTAAAAAACATGGTATATTCATATAACAACCACTATACTACATTGGTGGGGAGAAAAAAGTCAGACATATGCAACAATATGAGTCTCAAAGACATGARGGAACATACATACACACCTACCTACCATGTGAATCTATTTATAAAAATTAAAAACAAAGACATGTGTATTTATAAAAAATTAAATAAATATATTTATATAAATTAAATATATTTATAAAAAATTAAAAACAAAAAATATGTGTAGAGAGGTCACAACAATGGTTGCCTCTGGGGATGGAAGCAAGGACTGAAAAAGAAAATAAGGGAAATTTAAGGAGTGATGAAGATGTTCTGTCTTGGTCTAGATGATGGTTACACAGTTGCATACATACATAAAAAAATCCGATAAGCTGTAGCCTTAAGTTATACACAACTTGAATCTTTTTATAAAAAAAATACATAAATATTTTGGTAATAACAAAGTTTAAAATCTCCTATTAATCCATTAAGATAAATGATTATTTTCCAATAACTGGAATAATCAGCAATATCATGAGGTATTCTTTTATTATCATTTAAATATGCTTTAATTTCATTAAGTAGTAACTTAATAAATGTAACATTCACTTTAAGAACAATCAGCACTAAAGTGCAATTTACTGGGAATTCAGAACATATTTTTCATTCAAATACTAATGGGCCCACACTAGGTACTTACCCTTCTAATCTAACATCTGGTAAAGATCTGTTGAGTGCAATCATCTCACTTGCCATTAAATTGAACTGATTGATTTTAAACATCTCTTTCATCTTTTCTTGATCCTCTTTAGGAATGACAACTGGTTTCCCCATTTCTCCAGGACCTTCATGAGGTTTTTGTACTGGCTCTAGAACTAATAAGGAGGAAAAACTTAAATTAATTTCATAGCAATTAATTTATGTTTCTGTTTAATAACATTTGAATTGAAATTGTGCCCTCAAAAACTAGAGCCATTTCTGAGCCCMAAATCTCCCACTCTGTTAATACTCTAAGGGGTTGGGTTGTCCTCTACTTCCATGCTRGGATGACCTGACTCAAGACGTATTCACTTTGTCCTATTCATCTGAATTGCTGCATAGTTTTGCATTCCCATCTCAAATATTTTTGCCACATTAAGTTTCCCAAAGCACAGCCTTCAYGTTTTTTCTCATGGTCTCCTAAAGTCCAACCTCTTTAATAAAGAATTAAATTCAACTTTCCAAACCTATTATCCATTTGGTGCTGCTCCACAACCCCTCAGAGTATTCCTTCCTTCAGTTCAATACTGACTCACTACTTTCCTTCAAATGTGCTTCATGTTCTCTTGCTTCTATGCCTTTGTTCAAACAGGTCCTATCCCTTGACATCCCCTTCCCACTCCTATCTCTGCAATATAAACCCACATTTATCATGCCAGGCCCAACAGCTTTTTTAATCTTTCTATGAAAGTCATTTAAGATTCTTGATTATCACACCAATTTCATCTGGAACTCTTACTTCTCTAATCAATTGCTAACTCCAACTATAATGATTACTAACCTGTTTTKCAACACCCCCCACTATGTCACATTTCTTTTTTCGACAGGGATTTGAGTCTTCCTATATCTTCTATGGAGTTTAGTGTGGTGCCTTATAACAGCTTTGTTAACTATATGCTGAATTAATATGTTAAGTAAAAATGCTACTCAAAATAAGTTAAGATGAAAATCCTACACTTGATAATGATAGGTACTATAATGAAGTTTATGCAAGGTGGAGCATCAGGAACAATAATTCTAACCAAAAGCAGTGTTATAGCATTATATGTACRTGTGTGTGTAATACAAAGTAAGCAATATGCCCCATTAGCACTTAAAAAACATTACTCCTTGTTTTAATCCTTTTGAGATGTTAATAAATGTTCCAAGAAAAATAGGTTCTGAGATACTGAACTTTGAAAATATTGTGTTATATTTCTCATGTAAAAGGGACAGAGAATGTGATAAGGCCATAAATAGAAAAAAATATGTCCTGCATGTTACTTGTTTATTTTTAAAGCTGAAAATTTTATTTTCCTTTAGTGTTTTTTTATGTTTGTGGTGTGTGTGTGTTGGGGGGGTGGAAACTGGAGATTGAACCTAGGGGTGCACTGAATAATATCCTCATCCCTTTTTATCTTTTGAGACAAGGTCTCACAAAGTTGCTGAGGCTGGCCTTGAACTTGTTATCCTCCTGCAGGGATCCTTTCCTCACAGGGTTTACAGGAGTACGCCAACATGTTGGGCCCTTCTACTGTGTTTTTTAGGCATTCTCAAAATATCTACYAATTAGATATGATTTTTTTTTAAGTAGCATTAAGGGAATAGAAGAGCCATCTCTTCCATTCAGGCTTYATCTGCCCAATAACAGCACTAGTTGGTAAAGTTGTTCTGTAGGATGACTGCTGCAGATGGTGGTACAAAGCAAACTATCAGAAATGCAGAGTACGAATTTATTCAGTGTGTTTTCAACAAGTTTCTCAGAATATAAAAATCCATTTCATAGAACTCTTAATAAAAAATGATGTACAATAATTTCCCCTGTTCTTAGAATAAACTGGTTTTAGGAAAAACATTAAAATATTAAGAAATAATTTTTAAAATTGTAGAAAACACAAATAATACAGTTTTGAAAACAAATTCTGTCAACTATCTACCAAGCAAATAAGCTCTTTAAATATAGGGTTGGCAGAATTTTAAAAAAATTCTCAACAAGTATAATAAAAACAAAATGTGTAATGTCTTTTTTCTTTTTTTAACTTTCAAAATCATTAATCATAAAACTCTTAAAGATCATGTCTACTTACTTACCTCTGAAAATAAAGGGCAATCAACAGATTATGGGATTGGAATGTACAGGGATCAACAGGAAGGAGTAGAGGTGACAATGATCTTTTATGGATGGCACACATAAAGAAAAGGTGGGAGACATCTAGTGGCCCTGATTATAAATATTCTTCTCTTACCTTCGTTTGATTTTGGTATAAGGTTAAAAGAGAAATATTTTCATGCTGCTCAATTTAAAAATTATGAGTATTAAGTTACACATTCATCTTCTATAATGAGTTTTTGCTAAGAGTTAATAAAGATCCTGAATCTGATCAAACCTCTGGACTGTCTACCAATTCAAAAAAATATGGGAGAAGAATAACATAATAAACAACATTAAAAGGGATACAAATCCCGGCTGTGGGAAACTGGAAAAAAAGGAACAATACAATTTTTTCTTTTTCATCAACAAAAAAGGGAGGTTGGGGGACAATGAGAAAGAAGTATCTGTGCCATAAGACTAGCCATGAACTGATAACTCTTKAAGTTGATATAAGTTCAATTTTCTGTTCTCTCTTTTGTTTGTTTCAAATTTCAATGGTGATGGGCATGAAGAAGAACTYAATAAATTAAAGAAATTATTATCTTAAGAACTATATAGTATAAGTGTGATTGTTTATAGCATAAGAAACTAGATATGATTAGAAATTTAAATCTTGCCCCATCATTGTTGACTTTGAGATCTTAAAGAATCAAGCCAAGAATGTATAACACATAGAATCCTTCTGTTGCAATATTTTATAAGTTTAATAACCTGGTACTTATTATATTTAAGTTCTAGTATAAGGCCTACATCTAATTTATTGGTACACATGAGATATCAGAGCCACATTCAAAATTACCATTAATCACAAGTTGTATGACTTCCAGCAGCTCAGGAGGCTAAGGCAGGAGGATCTCGAGTTCCAAGCCAGCCTCAGCAAAAGCAAGGTGCCAAGCAACTCAGTGAGACCCTGTGTCTAAATAAAATACAAAACAGGGCTAGGGATGTGGCTCAGTAGTCAAGTGCCCCGTCGAGTGCCCCTGAGTTCAATCCTCAGTACACCCCCCAATCCAAAAAAGTTGTATGACTACTGTGTGACTTACAGAATCTATTATAATACTCTAAAGAAGAAATGGTAATGGTAATATCCTAAAGAATTACATGAACTATTAATTTTCCTTGGCAAAGCGGCCTGGATAAAATGTATGCAGCTATGAATATATTTAAATATTAGTGCTAGAAAGCAACCAACAAAAAAGATGGTTTTAACTTTTCTTGTACTCACCTATCTTTCTTRTAAATTAAAAGGGTATTTAGGGGCTGAGGGTATACTTCAGAGCTGGAGTGCATGCTTAGCAAGCATCAGGGTTTGGGTACAAGYCTCAGAACCAAAACACACATACACAAAAGAATTTAGGACAATTTTTGTTTGAARTTAATTCAAATGGGGCTTAGGTATCATTTCAACAACTGAAAAACTTTTTTGGCATAAAATTTTATATGTAGATAAATTCTAAGAATCAAATCAACTTTGAAAAGGGAGTGACAAAAGTGTCTGTGGAGATTTGGATAAGTGTCTCCCAAAGATCTGTGCATTAAAATGCTTGGTCCCTAATTCGTGACACTATTGGACCGTGGTAGAACCTTTAAGAGTTGGGGCCTGGTTCAAAGTCTTCTTTCTGGTCATATGGAGACATGCTCCTTATGGGGATGTTGGCACCCTATGCGTCCCACTCTTCTCTTTTTGCTTCCCTGCCACAATGAGGCAAGTAGCTTACTCTGTCATGTGCTCCCATCATGACATACTGTCTTGCCAGGAGYCCAAAAGCAACAGGTAATTTATCTCAGGTATTTTGGTCACAGTGAAGAAAACCTAACACAGTGTGATTCCTAAGTATTATGTGAGGACAAAAATACTTTTAGTAAATACTTCTGATAAGCTTCATTTACATTACAATTAGAGACATGTCATGTTTTAATAAACTTAATTACCAAGAAAACTACTGATTCACTCTGAAAGCCTGAACATAAAACATACACAAACTACAGGACATACTTTGAGTGTACTTTAGTCAATCCTTCAAATTTCTAATCTGTGGTTTTTTCATGGAAATGGAATAAAGATGTTGAAGTTACAACTCCTTTTGTGGGGGGAGGTTATTAATAAAAAGTAAAAAAAAAAAACTGTCTTCCAAACTATTTTTTGTCTTATTAAAAATTATCATCTTTATGTAATATACTTCACCTATTCCAAAACCTTTTGACCACATTTTAACGTTTCTGAAATTGGAATGTGGCTTACAATAATTGGAATATATTTGTTTTCACAGTGGCATATAAAATAGATATCCTATAAACAAAGATTTACGACGTACTGAAATTTAGTATATTATCTGATTCTTTTAAACTTAAAATATCATCTATAAATAAATTCACTTCTAACACTCTGCTACTTCAATATCCTTGCCAATTTCAACCTTTGTTCCAATCTCATGTACAATTTATAAAACTCTAAATGATTTTTAAATAATTCTAATAGAGTTTCTGAAAGCTTTTAATGATAATATTTTTACAAAATCTTTTAATCATTGGAAATTCTTTCTGTAAACTGTGCCCTCAATGTTTCCTAATATTTGACAACTAACAAAAGAGCCTGAAAATTAAACCAACAATATTTCAATGATCTGGATATCAAGTAGAGTGGTAAGCCTGAAGGATCAATTCCTACTTAAAACTGAACCTGTAAAAATAATGAACACTCTATATAACATCCAAATTCATAAACTGAAAGAATGAGCAAATCCTGGAAAGTGGAATTCCTAGGCTATAACCCACACTAACCTTGATATTTCAAAGAAGCCCCATCTAGCACTCTAGCATCAGAAGAATTTTTCTACTTTCAGATAGTCTAGAACATAAAACCCACATACAAAACTGTGAGAGAACTACTCAGGAAAACAAAATAAACTATGGAATCACTGAAGAATAGCCCTCTTAAAGGAAGTGGAACCCAAATAATAAATTACTCGGCTCTGACAGAACTACAGACTGTACAACCACTGCACTGAAACTTTACTTCAGGGTAGAGTTTTCAACTGTACTCTTTCCCCTAATCATTTCTCTTCCTTTTGCTTCAMCCTCTTAAGACTGTTTTTATAGTATGACAGCAGCTGCTCCAAAGCCTTGTAAGAAACATCACCACACAAGGCCTTCAGTCCTTGCCTTCTGCCTTAAAGCTCAGCCCTCTTTTCTTATTCTTCCACTGCTGACTTCCTTCTCAGTCCATCCCAGTGAACACCAAACACCCCACATCATTACCAAGCCTCTTCATTTTGCCCCATCTACTAGTCTAATTCAAATCCAGCTCTCCTCCAGGTTCCACTAACTTCAAAATCTTTTCTGGGATAATCATTCATTTGCCTTCTTTCCAGCTCCACACTGTTATTTCCAACCATTTCGCCCTTATTTTGTACTTTTGTACAAAACCTACTCCTTTTCTTTGAGGTTCATGCCACTAGTGGTTTTAAACTGTTATTTTACCTTAGGATTCTCCTTAAGAATAATAATCCTTYTCTTATGGTTCTGATACCACACTATCTCATAATTTGATCTTTCAAGTATTCCTTTTTTCCTCTATATTTAAAACCTCTCTTCTCAACTAATATAAATAATATATACATACATACATACATACATAGAAAACCAACTTTGGCTCCATTCCTTTCTTCTGACTTTTGTTTTACCACCTCCCTTTCATACCAAGACTTCCTAGAGAACAAGTTACACATCTCTATTACTTCACTGGTACATCAAATCCACTGGTCTCCACACTTTGTTGTCTGAAATGCCAGGATCACTAGAAACTCCATTACTAAACATATCAGAAACACTTCATCTTAGGTAATTGCACAAATGTCATACCAGAGTCACATCAAAGCTGCTCGTCCTCTGGGAGTTCCACTTCTTACCAACTTGTCTAACCAAGGAGACCTAAGAGTCACCTTAAACTTTCCTTTCTCTTATTCCCAATATTCAATGCTTCCCAAGTTACATAAATTCCACTATTTAAACACTTCTCATATATATGCATTTCCTCTCTACCTTCAGTATAATTTTAGTGTAAACCAGGGTACATTTCCAAATTTTCACCATAGTCTTCAAGTGGTATTTGCTACCTGTCAAATTCTCTTCTAGTTCAATAGCCAATAGACCACCAAAGTGTTCTTCTAAAAGTACAGATTTGATCTGAAGTTAAGGTAACTTAACACCCTTGTTTAAAAATTCTTCAAGAGCATGTCATTGACTAAAGCACAAAGTCCAAAATGTTCATTATGCCATAAGGATTCTCTGACAATCATGAAGTTGTTCCCTCCCCAAGATTCATCCCATGCATCCTCCAACCCATCAACTCTCTATTTCTTATCTTGCACATGCTTCTTTTCTTGGTTTAGTCAGTTTTCATCTCTCATATCAAATACCTGCCTATCCYGATACTCAACTGGAGCACACTTCCTTGTTATACCTTCTCAGTCACCCCAAGCCCTTCCTTCCTTTCTGCTTGTGTACTTCTGTGATTTCTATGATATCATTATTTTAGAATTATTCCCTCTCTCCATTAGACTGAGTTTCTTAAAGGGAGGAATTCTGTCTCACTTAAGATGTTGTTCAACAATGTTATGACTAGCACATAGTGCGTGTCCAGCACTATGAACTCTCTATATAACATCCAAATTCATAAACTGAAAGAATGAGCAATATATCAGCACTTTAAAAATATTCACCAAGTGGATCTTCACAAGCTAATGGCTCTATTCTTTCTCACTTTTAGGCCTTAGAATTTAAGATAGAACACTATAAGCTTCCTATACAGTGGCATTCAACTAGGGTAGAATGAGGGGAAAGTTAATCCATTCTGTTTGAGCAAAGAATACTTGAGTTTCTTACTGATGAATGGGAATATTTGTTCTGTGATTTAAAGGTATACATACAGAAGGTTTAGCTCTGACAACAGTTATGAAGTTGGTGTTTTACTACCCACTAAAGTTACTTAACAGAGGAGTCATAAAGTAAATATTATACAAATAAGCTGACTTTGAATGAAACTGTATTTTATTCAAACTTATGTAGAAAGTAAAAATTTAAAAAGGTAATGGTTAGCCTAGGTATTACTAGCATCCTGTACTAGCAACAGAATCTAACTGAAGGAAAATTTCCCAAGAAGAAATAAAAAGGYAGTTACCAATACAAATGAATAATTTTTAGATTATAAATGTTGAGGGACCAAGTGCCATTTCTCTTATAAAAGTGTAAAAAATTCAAATGTGGCTATATACGCTAAGAAAACCTATGACAAAAGAACTATTATTTACATAATATTCCTTAAATAGTGGAAGTATTATATAACTAATCATAGACAGTTCAGAGCCTTAAACAGTTAAACTAATAACTCTTCACAGTACAGTTATTTTCATTATGGCTAAAGAAGAAAAGAAAAAAAAGGCAACATGTTTGTTGATATGAATGCAAGGAGTTTAAAATCGAATTTTCCAAGTGTTCTCTGCCAAAATATCAGTACCACTTACCTTGGCCCTTCATGTTTTCTTTTCTCCCCCTATATCATTGCAATGAACTCAATGTAGCCCCTATTCTATATCCTGATCCTAAGCCCTCCCTAAAAGCACTAAAGAGAACTATCTGTAGCATTAACAAAAAGAACTCTCCAGATCTCATGTATCTATAAAACTTCTTCCCCACCGAAATAAGATGGCAGGGCAGGAGACACATCTCTTGATACCTAATGGTATTATTTTAATGCTCCAGCAAGCATATGGCATTAGACAAATCTTGTATAAAATTTTGATAGTCCAACTACTAGATTCCCTACATTATTTGCTAACATAAAATAATTTGTAGAAATTTAACTACATTTAATATTGAATATAAAAACAAAATTGAGTGATTAAATAATGATAATTTAATATTAGAAGAACCTATTAAAGAATTGTTAGAAATACGATCACCACATATATAGGAAGCTAGGAATTATACCTAAAATGCTTAACTTTTATATTATTCAAGTTAGTAAAAACTAGTGATATGTTTATCAAAATAGTTGTATTATAAAATGTTACTCACCATCCCCAGCAGGAAGTCCTCTTTCCTTTTTCTCATCACATTTGTTGCATTCACTGAAGTAAAGCAGCAAGAACATATCCAACAGTACCCAAATTAAGGAGGTGGCTAGGACCACCTTGCAATATGCAAATTTTCTCATGGCACTTTAAGTCAAATGCAAAATTTTAAAATATATATATATATATAAATATACAAAGATCATGAAAATTATTCCAATCCAGTTTCATCAGAAATCACATTCACACCCTGTAAAGAAAAGAAGGAAAAACAGTGACTTAAAAAATTTGAAACCTAGAAAACGAATTGTCTAATACATTAAGATATGAATTAATTTCATTAATAATGTGCAATTTCATGATTATACAAATAACTCTTACAAAGCAGTATTCAATAGAAAAATGAATAAAGGATTTAAACAGGCACTTTGCAGAAGAAAAAGATACAACCATGAAGAAATGTGCTCAATTCCCTATAATTAGGCATATGAATTAAGACAATACAAAGTTTGCTATTTCACATCCATCAAACACATGGGTCTCAACTCCCTTTCTATACAACTGCTACATTTATTGCTAAGGCAAAAACCAAGTTCTGAATTGCCTTGGGTTTGTTTTGTTTTGTTTTGTTTTKTTCTTGGTACTGGAGATTGAACCCAGGACCTTGTGTATGCAAGGAAAGTACTCTACCAACTGAGCTATATCCCCAGCCCTTTGCCTTGGGAATTTAAGCAATAAGTGACCCCTGCCTATTTCAAATATCCACATTCAGTTCCTAGATCCRAAGACCTCCCTGTAGCCTGTACTGCCGCAGGTACTTGGGATAATTCTTGTCCTTCTTCCCTGCTGAATCCTATCCTAAAAACTCTACAATCACCAATCACTCAGGAAATAGAAAACATCATGAAAAAGAAAAGGGTATCATACAATCTGAGATGGAGTCTTCACTCTTGACTTCCCTGATTTTTAGTTTCTATTTCCCACTATCCCACTTCCCATTCTTCTGTTGTAACAGTATGAGAAAGTACTTGGAGTAACTGTAACCAAATTTGGAAAGTAACTTAGGATAGTTTGACTAAAAATTTTTCTGGCACATAAAAAGTTCATCTTGCCATGGGAGGTAGAGCATGATGTAATAACCAGCGACTCAAGTAGCTGAGACAGGAGGATGACAAGTTCATGTCTACATTGGCAGTAAATGAGCAAGATCCTCTCTCAAAATAAAAAAAAATGAAAAGGACTGGGGATATAGTTCAGTAGTAGAGCACCCCTGGGATCAATTCCYAGTACCAAAAAAGAAATCCAAAAAACCGAGCTCATCTTGGTGAGCTACGATGAAGTCTGAGACTTCATAGAGGAAAGGAATGTTACTGTGTAATGGACAACAAAGTTCAAAGACCTATCACTGCGGATCAGGAGAGAGATAAGCAAAGTGCATTCCAATACTGTAAACTGAGGAATTATATGCTATGCATGCATGCCCCATACAGAGAGCCACAGAAGCAGATGTTCTGAAGCACTGCACTGACAGGATGTAGTCTCTTCTTACAAGGGCAACTTTATGTAACATGTTCCATGGTAGCCAGCAGAGAKAGATAAACCTAAACAATTCAGATAAAGTGAGTGAGTTTATTTATAAAATAGATATAGTAGTTCTTCACAAGATTGCTAGTCAACAACCTGAAAATCACCTAAAAAAAATTAAAAAAAATATATATATATATATGGAATAGTTTAAGCACAAAATATTCCTTTTTCTGTTCATCTCTCTGGAGTCTCTGATTTCTTGCTTATATTCTTCCTTTAATCAGATCAGCATTCTCTGGCTGCAAAGTGAGAACAAAGATGCTACTGCCATACTTCTGCCTTAAAATCATGCTAAATCAATTTAACACTTGATATTGTGTCACATGCAGTGAGCTGCCACCAATGACTATGATAACGGGTAAAGGGATTATAGGGCACAATGTCATGAGACAACAGTTCTCTGCACAGAAGCAGATGTATGAATTTATATTCTGAGCTATTTCACATGAAAGGCTACACCTCTTGTGGTCACTAGCAAAGCATTTGATTACTCATGAAATGGATTTCAAATATGGTTTCATGGTCTCTAAAATATAATGATTTTTTAAACYGATATATAGTCAGTTCAGCTTTACAGAGAAGATCTCAAGAGAAAGGAAAAACATGTCTACACAAAAAAACTGTATTCACATTATTTAAAATATCCCATCCCCTGTATCCAAAACCTTACAACACTTTAATCATAATCAAAATCTGGAAACAATCCAAATATCCATCACCTGATGAATAAATAAACAAATTGTAGTCCAGATTGAGCATCCCTTATACAAAGTGCTTGGGATCAGACTGTTTCAGATATTAGAGTTTTTCAGATTTTTGCAATTTGTACAGACTTTACTAGCTGAACATCCCTAACTCAAAATCCGAAATGCTCCCAAAACCCAAACTTTTAAACTTTAGAAAAATTTTTTAAATATATATTTTTTTAGTTGTAGGTGAACACAATATCTTTATTTTATTTATTTGTTTTTTTTTATTGGTTGTTCAAAACATTACAAAGCTCTTGACATATCATGTTTCATACATTAGATTCAAGTTGGTATTTATTTGTTTTTATGTAGTGCTGAGGATCAAACCCAGCACCTCGCACGTGCTAGGCAAGCGCTCTATTGCCGAGCCACAACCCCAGCCCCAAAACTTTAAAAAATTTTTTAAAGTGTCACACTGCCACTAAAAACATTTCAGATTTCAGAACATTTTGGATTTCAGATTAGAGATATGCAAGCTGAATATCTATAAAATGAAACGCTACTTAACAATCCAGCAATAAGTCAGAGGAACAAGCTTATCATCTGAGAGACTATGTGTACAGTCCAATAAAGTTTACTGGCTCAATATTTCCATTTAGAGCATGCAGYATCTGATACCTTGAATTTTCTAAAGTAATAAACTGATTTAAATTCTAGCAATATCTTAAAAGTTGATAGTTTCTTCTATTTATACAGTAAATATGTTCAAGACAAAGACCCTGGCAAACATAGAAAACTAAAAGATTCAAAACTACCTGTAAATTCACATTCCAGTTAACTCAATAAGTTAAGTGTCCTTTCAGTCATTCAGAACAGACAGTATACAATGTCATATTTAAAAGCAACTTTGTAATATCTATTTTGACTCAAATGCTTTAATAGCTTCAATGGCCTCATTATGGGGAGGGGGAGAAGATGGGTATAACTACAAAGTGGTAGCATGAAAGACCTTCATCATAGTCACACTGCATTTTTGGTTTTTTAATAAAYAATGTGTTTAACAGATACCCCTCTTCCCACCACAACCACTGAGAAATGTGTCTTTTTGTTGTTGTTGTTGTTGTTTTGTTTTTGGGGGGGAGTACTAGAGATTGAAACTAGGGGGCACTTAACCACCAAGTCACATCCCCGGCCCTTTTTCTTTTTTGGAAATTGAGATAGGGTCTCGCTAAATTGCTTAAAGCCTCATTAAGTTGCTGAGGCTGGCTTTGAAATTGCAATCCTTCTGCCTCAGCCTCTTGAGTTGCTGGGACTACAGGTGTGTGCCACTACACTTGGCTTGAATACTGTGTCTTAAGAAACATATGTCTTAATCCTCACTTCAAAATAGCCATGATATCCACAAAGCTATGTAAAAATGGCACATGTACTGCTTTAAACTTGGAGCAAACACATAACAGACAAAAATAAAAGAGGCTTCCTGGCTCAAGATTCTGGCCCTTATCCCCTTTCCCATTCCCTCCTGTGAGCACTGATACACACTCTTTGGTAGTGAAAAATGTTTACAAATGAAAAATTCTTAAACTTGCTGTTTTTTCTAACATTGTATTCAGAGATTCATCCGTATACTGAACATAGGTGTAGTTAATTCATTTTCACTATGAACAGTATTCTTTCAAAGTTTAGCATACCACGGTTTCTTTACTCTTAAAGAACATTTAAGTTCTTTCTAGATTCATTATTATTGGGGAGGCAGGGGTGCTAGGAATTGAACTCTGGAGCACTTGGCCACTGAGTCACACCCAGCCCTATTTTTTATTTAGAGACAGGATCTCACTGAGTTGTTTAGCACCTCGCTGTTGCTGAGGCTGGCTTTGAACTCGCAATCCTCCTGCCTCAGTCTCCCGAGCCACTGGGATTACAGGCATGTGCCACTGTGCCCAGCTAAATTCATTATTATAAGTATGCTATGTAACTATACCAGATCATGTTCCCTGGTACACATGTACAGAAGTATTTATGTAAGGCAGAGGTTTCCCAACCTTTATGGCAAAGAGCCAGATGATAAAAATTATAGGTTTTGGGGGCCATGGTGGTGCATGCCTGTAATCCAGCAACTTGGGAAGCTGAGACAGGAGGATCAAACGTTTGAGGCCAGTAGCAAGGCCCTAAGCAATTTAGTGAGACCATGTCTCTAAATAAAAAATAAAAAGGGCCTGGGATATGGTTAAGTACCCCTGGATTCAACCCCTGGTACGAAAACAAATTTTTTTTAGGTTTTGTGTTTTATGGCTTTATGGGTCATTCTCTGTTGCAACCATTGAACTCTGGCATAAATTTATGCTGCCATAAATGAATGTGGCAATAGCCAACAGTTTATTTATAGGCACTGAAATCCAAATTTCATAGTTTTCAATTACAAATTATATATAAAATATTATTTCTATCTTTAAGCATTTAAAAATATTAAAATCTATTCTTAATTCATGAGTCATCATAATGACCCCTGACCTAGAATATATACCTGGGGATGTTAGGTCAGAAGGTATGTGTTTTTCAATATGATTAGATATCATCAATTTATTTTCCCAGGTGGCCGAAACAAACTACCCAGGAACTCTGGAAGATGTGTTCAATCCTTGGCCAGGCTTACTGTTGTCAGACTTTTATTTTTTACAATCCTCCATGAGTGTATAGTTGGTATAGTAATGTAGTTCATCTCTGACATTACTGGTCATTCCATTTCTTCTCTGATGTGCCTACTGAAGTCTGGTTTACTATTCTATTAGATGAGTTGTTTTGTCTTAGTTTGTGAAAATCTTAATACAATGCCACATGAGTTACATATCCTGAAAGAATCTTTTCCCAGTTTATAAAGAAACACCAACCCAGGAAACCTGACAGGAAAAGATACATTCAGATAAAGAAATTTTCAAACAGGTTTTATCAGTAGGCAGTATAAGGTAAGATTTCAAGTAAGTTTTTTTCTACAGTTGTTTTGTTTCTGTCATTCCTTTACCTAAAATCTTTTCATGGCTTCCCACTGTCCTTTAATTAATGTTTCCCACTGTCSTGTTTTTCTTAAAGAACATTGATACTGCAGGGCCCGTACTTGAGTGGGTCTTCACTAAACAAATTCTATCCATTGTCAAACAGGTTGGGGAAATGTTGCCCAGGCGAGGTGGTGCACACCTGAAATCACAATGGCTCAAGGGGCTGAAGCAAGAGGATCATGAGTTCAAGCCAGCCTTAGTAAAAGCAAGGCACTGAGCAACTCAGTGAGACCCTGTCTCTAAATAAAATACAAAAAAATAGGCCTGGGGATATGGCTCAGTATTTGAGTCCCCCTAAATTCAATCTTTGGTACCCCCCAAAAATAAGTTGGGAAAATGTTATATACTTATATTCACCCTAGAAGGTGCTAAGCAACTCAGTGAGACAATCTCTAAATAAAATATAAAAATAGGGCTGGGGATGTGGTTTAGTGGTCAAGTGCCCCTGAGTTCAAACCCCCAGTACCAAAACACACACGCACGCACACACACACACCAAAAAAAAAAAAAAAAAAAAGAAGAAGAAAAAAGAAAGGAAACCTATTTAAGTTTTTAAATTTATAACTTCTCAATTTCAAGCATGGAACTTTCCCCATGTAAACTGTCTTTACTGAATAACATGAAATAGAGTTCAAATAGCACTGGAATAGTAAAAACTTGTTCAAAAACCTAAAATTAGGCAATTTTTAAAATTATGCATTGTTTGCTTTTGTGAAACTGGTATTTCTGTGAATCTGCAAATTCTATTTTTAAAAAAAGGATCCCAGTATATTTAAAAGCCAACATATATATTGATTTAACTATTTGAAATTCATATTTCTCTATTGTTCTGTAATGTAAGATGTATTTGCATATAAATCAGATAGTTGTGGACAAAAATGCTGGAAATTCTATAAATCCCTAAATGAAAAGAATCTACAAATTTCCCCTCAGAGAAATGAAATTTATCAACTATTTCTACTATCTCATTTTTTTTTTTTTGGTCCTAAAGACTGAACCCAGAGGCACTTTAATGCTGAGCTACATCCCCAAACCTTTATTTTATTTTGAAATAGGGCCTCATTATTGCTTAGGGCCCCTCTAAATTGCTGAGACTGGGCTCAAATTGTGATTTCTCTTGCCTCAGCCTCCTAAGTTGCCTACAGGCATGCACCACTGTGCCCTGCTTTTTTTTTTTTTAAGTTTATAATATCATGCTCCAAAGACTATATTTACCATCAAATACTTCACTCATTATTTCATGTAAGATACCATAAAAACAGAATTAAACACAGCAGGTCTGTATTCTTTTAATCTCTAGGGCATATCTGAGCCTTGGTGGTAACCCTAGTCAAACTCTGAGAACTGAACCCTAGAATGTTCAGTTACTGGTTAATGATCTTATTCTGTATGTTCCAGGCAATGGTCAGGTTGTAATAAGCTATTAGCAGGATTTAAAGAATCGTCAAGATTTGTGATGTGTACCTGATATCTGTCTAGGGTTTCAAATTTCAGTTGCCAGAGATAATTATATGGCAGAAATAAATGTAACTGTGGGTCCAGCTCCCTATAAGACTAACACTTACAGCCATGGCTACAGATATTTTGTATGTGTCTCTCTCATTTATAGCCAGAGAAAAGCATGTTCATATGATTCTCAGAAGACCTAGAAGCCTAAGCCTGACCTCTCTTATATTTATCTGAACAACTTTTCCCTTCTGTTTTGTACTGTAGCCTTTGCTATAATAAACATCAGCAATGAGTACAACTTTATATTGAGCTGTGTGAGCCTTTCCAGCAAACTAGTGGCAACTGAGACCAGTCAAAACAGATATCATTTTAAAATGTGGTTTGCCATAATACCTACTTCTCTATTTGTCAGAAGGTAAGTGATCATAATTATAATCCCTTCAAATGAATAAATAAATGGTCAGGAGAAATTTTAACATAGTAGCCCTGAAATTGCTATCCTTATAAAAGCATGGTTGGCAAGGTTACCCCTGGCTGGCACCTAGGAATCTGAATGGTAAAACAGTTCTCTATACCCATTTAAAACCTTCCCTAAATGTTAAGTGTGGATCACTGTACCTAAACTGTACAAACAGTATGATTTATGCCACTCATTTGTTTTCCTTCTAGAATCTAGAATTTTTCTATGTGCTAAACAGTAGATGCCTACTAACCAACCCCAATAAAAACCTTGACACTGAATCTTTAATGAGTTTTCTTAGTAGACAACATTTCACAAGTGTTGTCACAATTCACTGCTGGAGGAATTAAAGCACATCCTCTGTTACTCCACAGGGAGGGTTCTTAGAAGAMTATACCTGCTTTCCTCCCCATTTCATCCCTGCAACTTTTCCCCTTGCTTGGAATCCTTTTGCTGTAATAAATCTTAACTGTTAGTATGACTATGTGATACAGCCTATGAGTCCTTCTACCAATCACTGAACACAGGGGTGGTCTTAGGAATCCCCAATACAATCATCACACTAAAACAGAAATGAGTGTGTGTTTACAAAGCCCAATACTAAAGTTCAAATGTAAGCTCAAATTACAGTTTCAACACTTATACATACCCTAGCTAAGTTAATTTATTAACAAAAACCTATGCTTCTTTATTCCTTAAATGAGGAAAAAAAAAAAACATACCTACTTCATAGTAYCATCACAGTAAATTAAATGAGGGAATGCACAATTCACATACTACACACTTAGTAAATACTAAATGGTATTTCCGGGTGTACTTTCTGAGATGAAACAATCAAATCTTTTACTTGTACACGGATGCAATGAAAATTCTATTGGCCATTTGGGGCACCACAAAAAGAATATCAGCACGACTGACCTTGTATYTTCAAATGCTGGCTTTCTGAATTATTTCCAGATCACATGACAGGATTATTAGATAAACTTGACCAAGTTAAACTCTATATAAGAATTATCTTTTGATTTCTGAGGCTGATCTTCATTTAATATTCAAATTGAACTCTCTAATGAGAAATAAAAGTACTAATTAACTAGTACTGGGGCTGTAGTTTATGGTTATGATTCTCAAATTATTAAACTGGGATTTTAGTATAAGCCCTTCTCTTACATGTATATGAAGCATAAAGTCCAACTAATGTAAGTTCATAGCATAACCAGTAAGTAGGTTTTCAAACCTAGAAAGCTAAAAGATCAAGCCCAAATGTAAAAAGAACAAAACTGAAGTCATTCACTCCAGTCTATCAACTTACCCCAAAGCAGTTTTTCAAATGAATTAATATTCCAAATCCACATGTCCCACATTTCCTGTTGAAAAATAAATTTCCTAAAATCAGTAGATTTCAAAGTAATTCTCTCTTTCCCCACTTACCTGAGCCACCCTGTTCCACCAGACTGCAGGCCAGCTGCCATCTAAGTGCAAGGACATGACAGCACAATACCTGGCACACACTTAGTGCCTGTTAAATAAATGAGTGGGTCAAAAAATGAAATATTACTAAAATCCAACACCAAATTCAGTGGAAATACTATAAAATTTTCTTTCTTGTTCTAAGAAAATTATGAGGATATTAACTTTTCGGGGAGAGGACAAAGATGCTCAGCTTATTCATTATTCTACTTCTACATATTTTACTGAATTGGACCTCAACTGAATTCAAGTGATAACTCTATGYTAAGCTTCCTATTCCTAACTGGTCCATATCAACTATAATGATTCTATTTCTCTTACCAGGGTAAATGATCAAATCCTGAGGGGAAGCCTGCTAGGAAGCATTTGGGAAAAATTATTCTTCTATATAAAAATGCTGAAGGAGAAACTATACTTTTCCATCTTTGGATAAGCACATTTAGAAGAGCTGTAGCCATTCTGAGGCCATGAGGGAAGCAATCATCAACACGCTAAGAATGACAAAATAAAATCATGGACAACACACAGAACCAAACCAACACTGAAAATTCCTGCATGTATGATACATGACTTGATAAAGCCCTCAGTGATCAATTGGGTATTCTGGCTCCTACAATCAAATACTTCCTGATATACCACTCTAAAACTTATAATTATTGATTTAGATAGGTATACATCCCTATAAAGAAAAAAATGAAGATGTAGAGAATCTAAATTAAGAAATCTACTTTCATGGAAGAATACAAAAAAGTAGAATTTCAACATAAACTTTATACCTAAAAACCAGAACTTTTGGTTTCTGACATCTCCAGCTTAGACATGACATTACAGTCAGGAGCCACATCACAACAGGATATGTTCTGAAAAAAATGCATCATCAGATGATTTCACTGTTATGTGAACATCAGTGTGCTTACACAAACCAAGTAGTATACAGCTACTACACACCTCAGTTATATGGAATATATCATTGTATATGGTCCATCCTTGCCCAAAATACTATTATGCAACACATGGCTACATATAATTAATCACAGGATTAGAGATCCCTAATTTGCTCATACTTTGTCAAATATCTGCAAGACACTACTATAAGTAGTCTGATGCACATAAACATGAAAATGTTCAGTCTCTCATATGGTTTGCTTATGTTTCCCCCAAAGTTCATGTGTTAGAAACTTAATCCCCAAATTCAGATGCTGATGATTTTGGAGATAGGATCTTCAGGAGGTAATCAGGGTTAGATGAGGTCATGAGGGATGATGA